CGTGGCATATAATGTAATTTGCAATGGTTAATCCTATACATTTTCTCTCTCTTAACCTTTTGAAAAAATGAACTTGAAAGGTCAAGGACCGAAATGCAGATTTTAGAGATCTTAAAAGTGTAGGAATGAAACCCGACGACTTAAATGGGATGAACTTGAAAGGTCAAGGACCAACATGGAGATTTTAGAGATCTTAAAAGTGTAGGAATAAAGTACAGTTTTAACACGATGACTTAAATGGGACGAACTTGAAAGGTCAAGTACCGAAATGGACATTTTAGAGATCTTAAAAATGTAGGAATAAAGGACGGTTTTAACACGATGACTTCAATGGAATGAACTTGAAAGATGAAAGACCGAAATGGACGTTTTAGAGGCCTTAAAAGTGTAGGAATGAAGGACGGTTTTAAGCTTCTCATTTTGTGACGTTTAGTGGCAACTAATTGAGGCTGAACTTTCTGTTTCTTGTTAACAGTGCTTTGGAGTTCCTCTGTACCAGTAAACTCTCTAACTTAACAGTGAAGGCAGAACTTGGTTGCTGCTTGGTTCACAGAAAGGGAAGATTAATTATTGATGGATGTGTTCTTCAATGTGAGTCAAACCCTTTGGACTACCTATCATGCCCCATTGTTTGTACTGCAAGTCCCGATAGCCTATCGTCTTCCTCGGTGAAAGGCGGTTATACAGATGGCGTTTCTGTTTCACAAACCCGCATCGAGGGTGGTGCCAAAGCTATCCTAACGAGCGAGGACCTTGCGTTACAGCACGTTCGAGTTATTTATGCTCGAACAGCTTTGTTCTTTTGGTTTGACGTCGAACACAAGTTGCAATAATTTCCTTGTAATCCATTAGCAATGTGTATCTGTTTCAGCTCGTTAATCCTTAGGTATGGTATATTGGTGATTATTTAACTTGTATGATACTTCTGTTTAGGCTCGTCACATAATCGGTTTCGCCCCTAAATCTTTCGTGGTCGCTTTGTTTTTTATTCTTAACGATTGGAGCTCCGATATGTAATTATTTCGAAAAAAAAAATGATCGTCTTAGCTTATATTTTTTGTGCTTGACAATCACTCAAAATTTGTTTGATATATTGCATTATTTTCTATTTAACTGCGTAAGGTGAACTTTTGCACATAAAAAAATGAATATATATATTGTTATTGTACAGTTAAATATAATTAGAGCTGGAATTTTTAAAGTTAGTTATTTGTGACGTATGTTTATTAACTCGCGAGATTGGAGCATTGTCACAATCGTGTTCTTATGAGATGTTTGTAAGTGGTGTGGCACTCACTCTCACCATCTTAGGCATTCTCACGCCTAAAACTTGTTTGAAAAACTTTAGCGTAGGCACGACTGAAATTTCCCATCCTCTTTTGGATGAATATGACAAGACACGGACCAAAATAATTATTTTTTAAAAGTCCGACTATAATAGAGAGAAAATATATGAACTAAAAAATTCCATTAAAAAAATGTCAATTAAATTTAGATAATTTAGCTTTTATATATAATGATTCCTAATAAATTTTCTATTCTACCTCTGTAATAAATTATATTAAATACTAAATTGTTACTCTTTTAATTTCATAACATATTATTCTTATAAAAAATAAATTAAAATAAGTATTAATTCACCGATTTGATAGTTCAAATTGGTAATATTAAACTCAAAAAAGTAGTAACAAAGTCCAACAAATTAATTGAACAAAAAAGAGAAAACTTGGAAGACATTGTGTCTAAAAAAACAGGACCCGATCCACGCCATCATTGATTACTCGTTTTGTGTGTTTAAGCTCATCGGGAGGGAATCAAAACATTAACTTTGGGTAATAACCAGTGTCTTTATCCACTAAGTTATGCTCAAGTCTTTACTCATATGCTCCTCCGCTACATTGGTAAGGGTGGTGGACCCGAACTAAAGTCAAAAAAAGTATCCGCGAACACACATGGACGCCCTTTTATGGGAAGAACTTTGGTCACGTGAGTCTTAACATGCCTCCGCTACATTGGTAAGGGTGGTGGACCATAACTAAAGTCAAAAAAAGTATCCGCGAACACACATGGACGCCCTTTTATGGGAAGAACTTTGGTCACGTGAGTCTTAACATGGTAAGAAATCACTTGTCCTTCGTCGGCTTCCATTAAAAGTTCATCTGAACTCACAAACAACAATGGCTTCTCGACTCCAAAAAAAGGACCAATTGTCATTAGTTTTGACCATGAAAAGACATCTTTCTCCATCTCCCAAACCGAGAACGTTTTTTCATTCCTTGCGTTTGAGCCGTAAAATATAACAATTGATCCATTCAACATCTCCATACTTATATTAGGGTTTAACATCACATCCTCCTCCACTAAATTGTTCGGTACTGGAATTTTGCCAAAAATTTCTTCGCTCATGTCAAACGTGCGTATAATATTTCCTTCTCTATTATTTGACCACCAATAAGATTTTCCTTCATGATGCATCTCACAACCCCCTGTTATCATTAAATACCTAAAATTAGGGGATTCAATTTCCCTCCATCTTTCTTTCCTCAACTCCCAAATCTCCACTCGAAGTGGTCGAAGATTATAGACTCCCTCTTCGTCGGGGAATTGTACAACCCTAACAACTTTGAAATCCCCAGATTTGGAATCATATCCGAATCCAACACCGCTTGTTAATGAATCAAACATTTCATAGGAATCTTCATTGTGAAGAATCGATGATGGAAGCTTACGAAACTTTTCGGTCGTCATATTAAAGAGGAAAATATCTCTATCGTACGAAAGACAAACTAAACCATGAGAATGACCACAAATATCAAAATTTGGAAAATCACTTGATGGAGTGTTGACATCGAGAATGGAAATAGATCGATCAGGGGTGTGGGAAAACTTGATGATGGAGGGTATATACGTATAGAGTTGAAAACCGATAATTATTCGACGGTTGATATAAATACATGTATCTTGTAAAGAAAAAATTGCAGGATCGTTGATTAGAGCGTACCATAATTTGCAAACAGACTTAAATTGGAGTAGAGACTCTGCGGGAAGCCTGGATAGAATTTCGATCAACAATACTATGGGGAGATCTTTTAGAGTCGCCATTAGAGGGTTCAAGTTTTATTTAACCATCGTTCATTATTATATAAGGAAGAGGTGAATGCAAGAAAGGATGAGCTGTCATTTATCTATTTATTTATTTATTTTTTTGTGCTAACCAAATAACATACCAAAATTAGATAATTTTTGTTTTTTGTTCTTTTGCTATTTTTAATGCATCTTTAATGGTTAAGGAATAATTAAGAATTTTAATAATAAAATAATTTTAATGAACTTACCTTAAAACATCATATATTATACTTAAACGTTCAAGAAACCGTCACTCACTACACATAGAAATCTAACACATATTGCGACTGTAGAGGGTGACCCGACCCGTGACCCAATTTGCAGTCCAAGATGAGCCCCTTCCGAAACTTCAACTGCTTTCAATTGACTCGACCTGGTTCCTTCCTATGCAATGTTATTTTGTCAGTGTCTTGCAGAAAGTGCGAGTACTCACATATGGAGAGCCTTCTTGCATGCGTGTAGGTGCGTGACAACGTGTGAGGTGCTCCTTTTTTTTTTCTGTTTGACCTCCATTCAACTATCTATATTATATAGATAATTTTGATTATTTTATTTTCAATTATTATCGATGTAATTTTATGATTTTTTTCCTAGGTTCCTCGAGGCATTCTAAGCATTTTTTTTTTTTGTCCTTCTACAACAGTTGGAGATTCAACCTCTCAGGTCCTTAATAAAATCTCAACCGCTCGAAATTAAAAAGCAAATGAAGGAAAAATTTTGTATCTATTGGGCTCGGGGGTTACAATAGGTACTGAAAAATGTGCCTGCCACTGTTTCTGTTTCTGTTAAGGATGTGAAATAGAAATAGAATTGGGATCGAAAGTATGATCTTCATCAATGTTTACCACGTTTTAAATAGGAAAGAAACTATCCACTAATACGGAAAAATATATAACTAACTAATATAAAATATACGGCTAACAACTTCCAAAATATCTAAGATATACTCCCTAACTAATTATTAAAGTATATCTCCAAATATCATATCTTAATACTCCCCCTCGAGTTGGAGAGTGTATGTCAATCACACCCAACATGTCCTTCAAAAAAAATCAAACTGATGTCTTCCCAAAGCTTTAGTGAAAACATCTGCCAATTGCATTTTAGTCGAGACATAACACGGTTTGATGATTCCAGCTTGTAACTTTTCTCGAACTATATGACAATCTATTTCAATGTGTTTCGTACGTTCGTGAAAAACTGCATTGGCTGCTATATGTAATGCTGCTTGATTATCACAATATAATAATGCTGGTTCGGATAGTGGAACATTCAAGTCTTGAAGAATGTATCTTAACCAAGTTAACTCTAAACAAGTATTTGCCGTAGCTCGATACTCGGCTTCTGCTGATGATTTGGACACATTAGTCTGCTTTCTAGACTTCCAAGAAATAATTGAATTTCCGAGGAAAATGCAGAACCCAGAAATAGACCGTCTGGAAGTTCGACAACCACCCCAGTCAGAATCGCAATATGCTTGTAATCTTAAATTGTTTTCAGATGGTAGTAGGAGTCCTTGACCATGAGTACCTCTGATGTATTTCAGAACTCGAAGAGCTGCCTCCCAATGTGGTTTTCTTAGTTCGTGCATAAATTGACGAAGGATACGAACTGAATAAACTATGTCAGGCCTAGTAACGGTCAAATATATTAATCTGCCAATCAACCGTCTGTATTTACTTGGATCATTCAACTTCTCTCCTTCAGTTAAAAGAAAGTTTTAGATTTTGCTCCATAGGAAATTTTTCTGGACGTGCTTCTATAAGACCTGTGTCTTGAAGGATATCTAGAGCATACTTCGTTTGAGACATAAAAATTACTTTTCTAGACCGAGAAAATTCAATGCCTAGAAAATATTTCAAATTCCCTAAATCTTTGATAAGGAATTTCTTGAGTAAACTAGTCTTGAGGTATTGAATTTCTTTGAGATCATTGCCTGTCAACATAATATCATCAACATAGATTAGAACGGCAGTGAAAGAAGTACCTCTTACTCTTAGTAAAAAAAGAGTAATCTGCTTGAGTGTAGCCTGCATTTTGTATAGTGATAGAAAATATGGAGAACCAATTGCGAGAAGCCTGTTTCAATCCATAAAGAGATTTATGGAAGCCGACATACTGTATTCTCCCCCTGTCGGCGAAGACCTGGTGGTAAAGACATATAGATTTCCTCGTCTAGATTACCATGGAGAAAGGCATTTTCAACATCCAACTGATGGGTGAACCATTTTCGAGCAGCAGCAACAGTGAGTAAGCAACGAAGTGTAGTACGTTTCGCTGTAGGAGAAAATGTCTCTGTGTAATCAATACCTTCAACCTGAGTGTATCCATTTGCTACCAGTCGAGCTTTATAACGTTCAACAGAACCATCAGAGTTGTATTTAACTTTGTACACCCAACGGCAACCAATAGCTTTATGACCAGGTGGTAGAGGAACGAGATACCAAGTATGATTACGTTCCAAAACTGCAATTTCATCATTCATAGCCTGGTGCCATAACGGGTCACCAACTGCCTCGTCATAGGTTTTAGGTTCTGTCTGGGATGTAATAAGAGCTAGAAAAGCACGTTGAGTAGGAGAAAAACGGGAGAATGAAAGGTAATGATGAAGTGGATACCTGGTGCCAGTTCTGGGACCTCAGCTATAGGTTAAATGATTGGTTCCAGAAGACATCTCATAATCCTTATGCAAAGCTGGAGGTTGTTTAGTACGAGTAGAATGTCGGAGTGGAACTGATGTATCAGGTGGGATAGGATTAGAATTAGTGGGTGAATCTGGAGAAAGGAGNAAAAAAATCAAACTGATGTCTTCCCAAAGCTTTAGTGAAAACATCTGCCAATTGCATTTTAGTCGAGACATAACACGGTTTGATGATTCCAGCTTGTAACTTTTCTCGAACTATATGACAATCTATTTCAATGTGTTTCGTACGTTCGTGAAAAACTGCATTGGCTGCTATATGTAATGCTGCTTGATTATCACAATATAATAATGCTGGTTCGGATAGTGGAACATTCAAGTCTTGAAGAATGTATCTTAACCAAGTTAACTCTAAACAAGTATTTGCCGTAGCTCGATACTCGGCTTCTGCTGATGATTTGGACACATTAGTCTGCTTTCTAGACTTCCAAGAAATAATTGAATTTCCGAGGAAAATGCAGAACCCAGAAATAGACCGTCTGGAAGTTCGACAACCACCCCAGTCAGAATCGCAATATGCTTGTAATCTTAAATTGTTTTCAGATGGTAGTAGGAGTCCTTGACCATGAGTACCTCTGATGTATTTCAGAACTCGAAGAGCTGCCTCCCAATGTGGTTTTCTTAGTTCGTGCATAAATTGACGAAGGATACGAACTGAATAAACTATGTCAGGCCTAGTAACGGTCAAATATATTAATCTGCCAATCAACCGTCTGTATTTACTTGGATCATTCAACTTCTCTCCTTCAGTTAAAAGAAAGTTTTAGATTTTGCTCCATAGGAAATTTTTCTGGACGTGCTTCTATAAGACCTGTGTCTTGAAGGATATCTAGAGCATACTTCGTTTGAGACATAAAAATTACTTTTCTAGACCGAGAAAATTCAATGCCTAGAAAATATTTCAAATTCCCTAAATCTTTGATAAGGAATCTCTTGAGTAAACTAGTCTTGAGGTATTGAATTTCTTTGAGATCATTGCCTGTCAACATAATATCATCAACATAGATTAGAACGGCAGTGAAAGAAGTACCTCTTACTCTTAGTAAAAAAAGAGTAATCTGCTTGAGTGTAGCCTGCATTTTGTATAGTGATAGAAAATATGGAGAACCAATTGCGAGAAGCCTGTTTCAATCCATAAAGAGATTTATGGAAGCCGACATACTGTATTCTCCCCCTGTCGGCGAAGACCTGGTGGTAAAGACATATAGATTTCCTCGTCTAGATTACCATGGAGAAAGGCATTTTCAACATCCAACTGATGGGTGAACCATTTTCGAGCAGCAGCAACAGTGAGTAAGCAACGAAGTGTAGTACGTTTCGCTGTAGGAGAAAATGTCTCTGTGTAATCAATACCTTCAACCTGAGTGTATCCATTTGCTACCAGTCGAGCTTTATAACGTTCAACAGAACCATCAGAGTTGTATTTAACTTTGTACACCCAACGGCAACCAATAGCTTTATGACTAGGTGGTAGAGGAACGAGATACCAAGTATGATTACGTTCCAAAACTGCAATTTCATCATTCATAGCCTGGTGCCATAACGGGTCACCAACTGCCTCGTCATAGGTTTTAGGTTCTGTCTGGGATGTAATAAGAGCTAGAAAAGCACGTTGAGTAGGAGAAAAACGGGAGAATGAAAGGTAATGATGAAGTGGATACCTGGTGCCAGTTCTGGGACCTCAGCTATAGGTTAAATGATTGGTTCCAGAAGACATCTCATAATCCTTATGCAAAGCTGGAGGTTGTTTAGTACGAGTAGAACGTCGGAGTGGAACTGATGTATCAGGTGGGATAGGATTAGAATTAGTGGGTGAATCTGGAGAAAGGAGCAGAGGGTGGAGGAGACGACGAAGTAGTAGGTGAAGGAATAGGAGATGAAGGAGGAATAGGATCATGAAGTGGTACAATAAGAGTCGAAGGAGCTAATGTCAAAGTTTGTGAAGCTGATGAAAAAGGAAAATCATCTTAACAAAATTTAACATCACGGCTGATAAAGAATTTGTGAGATTGCATGTCATACAACTTGTAACCTTTATGACCACAAGGATATCCTACGAAAACACAAGAAATTGCCCGTTGTTCAAATTTTTGCTTAGGATGTACTATAGTTGCATAACA